TAAAATTTATATACTTAAATAAACAATTAACTAAATGAGGTGAATAATTAACTAGCTAACTAATTAAATACCAACAACTAAAAGTAATAAAGTAACGAGGTAACAAAGTAACAGATAGGCAAGTAAACAAACTACCCAAGTATCCGAGTGACCAGGCTTGTCTAACTACCATAGTAACCAAGCAGCACACTTTATACCTTATTTAACTTGTTTCTGAAACGAAATCTATTTGAGTACAATCTGCAGCAAATTCCAGCTGATGCAGTAAATTAAGTTATCTTACGTCTGCTCCACGCATTCTGTAGTGTATTGTCAGTCGTGACGGCACGAAACGTCATTATACGCGAGGGAATATACCAATGTATTCAAACTGTGTCGCCACATATCATACATACACTTGACAGCAGTGACACGTATGGCAACTTCCCATCTGTGAGGTTGACGAAGGAATATCAGCAGGTAGTTTTAAACAGTTGTACCATCTGTGGTGGATGGGAAAGTTGGTGCTGTGGTTAACACCGAACGATATTAGAGACATGTTACGAGAATTATCGACACTGATTGATTTCAAGGCTTTTAAAGACTGCTTTTTAAACGATGAGGAAGTGAACAAAGCAATATTAGAGAAAGGATGCGAGGAAGAGGAAAAGGCTGATGCAGGAACATTAAACAAGAGTGAAATTTATACTTCAGATTTTGGAGCACACTTATTATCTTCCATATACCTTTTTTTTGTGGCGTACTTAATTGGCTTCGGTGTTTGTTACAGATACAAATCTACTGCTACAAAGTTCATGGCAACAAAATATCACACTGCTCAGTCAAAAATTATTTTACATGAATTTTGTTAAATATTGCCACATGGAAAGAAATGTTTGAATTTCGAAGTTGTAAGAATTACTTCTGAATGAGATCGATACTCAGTGTTATAAGATACATTTCTCGTTTAATTTGAATTTCGTGAAAATTGTACCGTTTCGATTGAAATCCTGTGCAGGCCTACTGTATGAATTATTCGACAGGGAATCAATTACAACACTCCTCTGTTTTCACAAAGCCGAAAACCTGAATGCTCAGCAACTTTATAACATGATCTGCGTTAGCATGAGAGCCTAAATCATGTTGATTACAAGATACGATATTTTTGTTTGTTAAAATTAACTTGAATAAGTTGTTTTCAGTTTTCATTATGTGCCTCCCCCATGCGTTTTGCTTCAACTCGAATTAAAACAAAACAAGGCTACGTAATTTAAATGTTATACGAATTTTCCTTGGGTAAGATTACGCATTTCTAACATCACGTCTGTTGAAATTAACATTATCGTTATTGTTCCGTTATCTGGAATTCCTTACTAGGTTCTGGTTTTGTAGTTGTGAAAAGACAACGAAGATTTAATTTCGTCTTTCTCTCTGTGTTCTTTGTTCTCCTTACATCGCGTCCCTCTAATAAGGTCGAAGCCAAATGCAATTTTGAAGGTAACAACTTAATGTCACTTGTAGTAAAATGGAAACTGTGTGAGTAGGGCGGGGAAGAATTCCCATATAGTGATAATCTTTTCTGCTCTTTCGTGTGTGCAAGGGAAAGGCAGGCTTAAGGTTTAATTTTTCTCGTCTGTCCCAACTAAATAACCCTTAAACAAACTGATAGCCCACAAAAGGCTAAACAGGCTTACATTGACATATGCCTGATAATGGCTGCCTTCTGGGATACTGCACCGTGCAGTCTGGTAGACGTTTGCCGGCGTTTCAGACGACGATCATAGCCCTCATAATGAAGTAGTAAAGATCTGAGACGTCGGTAGAAATTTACCGGACTAATTGATGTATCGTCTTGGAAGACAACTACATACTCGCCGCTGTGAGAATCTGAAATCTCGCTTACAAGGAAGTTCAGCACTAATAAAATATAGCACATATTTTGGAGCTACATTATGTTCGTTTATTTGAGCAAACATTTTAACGAGTCGAGAACACGGCCCAGATAACTTTTAAGTTCCGACAGTTACTCGTTTTTTCTTTACTGAGTCGTACAAATCGCTCATCATTTTACATAAAAATAGTTTTGTGAGTGGGAAGAAATTGAAACAGCTTTCAAGGATGACAAAATGTTAGGTCAGATCATAGGCAATACAAACCCACTGCATATAGTAATTTAACCAGAAACAGTTAAACACTGTCAGAGGGGAAAAGTCACCAATGAGAGAGGACTGTTGCATTGTGGTGTCATGAAGAACGTTATAGCCTATTTTGGTTTTTATCTAATGAGGCGTAGGTGACAGGAAGCCCAAAGCTCTGTGTATTCTCACAACTCTGCGAGATATTTGTTCGAGAGCAGTTGATCACTTGCTTCGTCACATCATATTGTAAACCACAGGAAATGGGACGATGTGTGACACTGGATCTTAATGAAATCGAATATTAAAATGTAAAGTGGTTTCAGTTGGCCTAGAATTGTCGATATTAATGCTGGGCTTTTGTGTTAACAGTGTTGAAACGTCGGTTATTTTAACACCATCCTATAAGACATTGTATTTAAATATATGTCATGCCGAGAAACGTATTTTCTGACAATGTTCAGTAGAAAGGTAGTTACTTGGTTAGATCTATAGTTTACAGGAGACAGTCTATGAAAACGCACCAAGGCACCGGCCTAGTAGCAACACACTACAACCGCAAAAAAGCACAATATTCACAAAATTAGAATTACGTATAACCTCTTACAGTAGCTTCGTAACAGAATATTTCGAATATTACCTTACAGGCACACACGGTAATACACCGTCACCATTAAACATCCACAAGTTACACACATCAAAACAGTAAGTGTATTTACAATTTTATCGGTTTTAGACTCAAAACAGTGTTAATAATATTTGCATTGATAGTGAAGTGACCCATGAAATTCGTGTTGACCTTGATAATAATTAAAATTTAACGCGTAGTTCGATGTAAGAACAGATGTCAGCTTTAAAATAAAATACGTGTCATTTAATATGTTAATTTTTGTCTTCGTTTACTTATAGTCTGATTTATATTTGCCGGGCTGTAGGAGAATTTATGCCTCCTTCGTGGAATGTGTAGTCTTTCCCAACAAACTGATAGCAGAAGCATAACAAACTGAATCTGTATTGTAAAGCATTGAATTTTACACCTTTCCTGTGTCTCTCGGTCATTCCCGGAGGCATATTATAGAGAATAAGAAGATAGTACTCTTATTTTAGCGCATTGAAAACACTGCCTTCATATAATTTGATAAAGAATCGAAATTAATTTCCAGATTTTTCGTCTAGAAAATAAAAACAAATGCATGATATCTGTCGAAATCACGTTTACAACACAAAGCTCTCTTTAATCCGTGACGGAAACGAGTGCTAATGTTGAACAATATTCGTAATTTCGTTCTTTGTTTCGTCTTTGAAAGATATCAAACGAGTGTAGGGCAGGAAGTAAGCCCTTCTTGCTGTTCACGGGATTGAATATTTAGCAGACGAAACAAAGGCAGTTGAATAGCATTATGTAAGCTTCCTCTGTATTGTGTTTCCAAGGGTATCAGCGCTGTGTAATATACGAGGAAAACATAAAAAAGTATAGAGTGGAATAAAATACAGAAAATAACAGAGAATCCAAACGAGAAACCAATATTTTCGCTACGCAAAAATATGAAATTTGTTGTACTGTCTGTGGGGCACGCCCCTGGAGAAGCGTACAATGATTCCAGGGTGGGAAGTACTGTAAAGGAATTTTGGATCAAAATTAGATTTACTGAATTGATTTTTACGTGATTTAATTTATTCCCGTTTCTCCGAAAATTATTGAAGCTTGACGATGCTTACTTTTAACGGGAAATTTCTTGCTTAGGACATGCCTTTGTATCTGAATTTTACTCAGAAGGCGATGCATATATTTTTACATTTTCCAGCACTCATGCATGCTTTCGATTTTCTTCCGTGTTTGCTCCGAAACAAAATCCCTGAATCACTCAGATATTTATTGTAAAATGCAGTATGTCTGAGATGGGACCAACGTTTAACTTTTCAGGAAATAAAATAGTTTTCGAGTAATTTGTTGTTGCGGTCAGAAAGTGATCACATTAAAATGAAACAGGCCTACCAAGTTTCAGAAGGCTCAAATAGGGAGTGACTTCTGCAAACGGGGTGTAACGAACTTCACAGAATGCATTTCAGCTAACTCTATTTTGAAAAAAATGTGACTTGTTATTTTTGTTGACGAGTTGTTTGCAAGAAAGCAGTGACACCGTCCGCACCAACAATTAAAATGCAATAATTTAGACATTTTATGTTATTTTTTATTTAATAGTGTTATGCAGTTCTCATCAATATTTTTCTGCAGATTTAGTTTGCCTTTTTACATTCTTTATACGTTTAACTGAAATTTAATATATTCAGTTTTGAAATGGCACTGAGCTCTTCAAGTGTGGGCATTTTAACCGATTAGGAAGAGGGGAAAAAACAAGAAAAAACTTGTGATTTATTTATTACATTCTCTACATAGTGAAAGTGATTTTGAATCGCATGTTTATATCTATGAAGAGGGTTCTACGCCAGACTTATTTGTATCGCAGAAGACTATGGAAAAATTTATTGTTTTATCTTACGGAGTTACTGATCCAGTACTTTCAGTATGAGAACAAATTATTCAAAAGAAATGGATCTTAAAGTTTTCTATGATTATTTATACTTTCTGCTAAACCTGGGGTAGAGATTGAAGTATTTTAAAAATTGTAATTCGTCCCAAGTTCTTCTCAGAACATCTTGTTGAATATATTTTCTTAGGTGATGTGAACGAGGAATTACATTTTAACAACTGCAGTAAAAAAAACATGTTTACTAGTTGGATGGAAGTAGTCCGCATGTCTGGAAGTTTCTTAATCTGGGCCCGTGACACGTTTCACAAGATTTATCATTTCTTTTGTAACCTATGTTTGTGACTTCGAATTTGTGCATCGTCGTCATGGCCTCTTGAACTCCCGACCTTTTCGCGTCTCTCGTTCTTTGTCGTCGTATGTACGTATGTAAACTCACGTAAATATTTACGAGTTGAAGTTGGGCCTTGTGGAATTAGTTATCTCGACAGAAATCAGATTTATGTAATATTTTGTGGCAATAAGTAGGATTAAAAACTGAATAAATAGTACATAAACATTACGTGAGCGCACATGTGCATAAACGTATACAAATTATTATACAGACCATATATATTAGACAGAGATTTCAAATCAGGATCTAGTGAATTGGACGTTGAGTGTTAAGCAACAATAGTGTGACAGTTTGGCTTAATAAGATTTAAAAATATGTAAATGGGTTTCAATATGGCTGTACTCCGGCTGTCAATACAGAACAGAAACGAGAATTAAAAATTAAAATCTAATATTTAATTAAATTAAAATTCTAATGGTGACAATTCTACCATTACAGATGTATGGTTAAATTTCCCTGACTTAGTCTTAGGGACTTAAAATTATACACAGACACACGGTCTTGGAGACCATTTTGGAAGTTATGTGTCTTTATTTCTGCATTTAAGCCTGGTTTGTGGTTCTTACAGCGATAGATATGTCTTCTAGGTTGTAACACCGCATGTTTGTCCGAAAAGCTGATAATATACCGTCAACTTTACATGGCTTTACTGCAGGGAAGACGAAAGTCGACGGGTTCTTTTAGCCTGACTGTGTTTTTTACATATAAACATTCTGCAGAGTATTTGGACTTCAGAAACAGGAAGTAACAAGAACATGGATAATTAGTTTATATGGCGAGTTGATTAATAATGTGTACTGTAACTTATATTGTTGGGATAATTAAATTAAAGAGAATATGGGCGTGGCATATATATTTTATATATATATATATATATATTTATATATATATAGGGCGAATTGGAGAGATGAGAAGTGCGTCATAATTTTAAATGGAAGAACTTGAGGAAAGATATCACTTGGGAGATCCAGACTTGGAAGTAAAATATTAAGACGAACTTTAGATGTATGTGGTATGGGAGTGTGGACTAAATTGAACTGCCTTAGGACAGGGTCAAGTGGCGGGTTTTTGTGAACACCGTAAGAAAAGAACTTCCCGTTCCATGAAAGGCGGTGATTTTTCTGTGCTTTCAAATGTAGAAATTGTACATAAAGTTGTGTAGTTAACTATTTGGTAAACATCGAATGATTTTGTTGAAGTAAGAAGTTAAACTCCTGCATTGCACGTATATGAAGCGCTTCATTAAATACTGACGCGTCGCGGAGTGCACACGTGTCAATAGTTCCACATCACGAGAGTCTCATGGAATGCATTGATCTTTTGTTTCCACTTGATACTGACCAAGATGTTATATTTCGTTTTATATCTTTCCTCCCTGAGTTCGGATGAGTAGCTACAATAAAATTCCCCTGAATAAGGTCTTCCCTTGCCTCCGATCCATTTGTGTCTGCTATTATCACCGATTCAACAAAGATGGAGCCCCAGTCTGGCCCCACTTGATATTCCACTCATATGACCCCTGCTGTTGCTGCAGTTCATAGGCAGCGGAATACACACACTGCCTAATCGCATTTCATATTTTGTTTGTAATTACAGGATATAAGATCGGCTGAAAGATATTTCCCTTCGAAGCGATGATAAACGTCTACGAGATTGCACACTATCATAACCCCGATGATCACAAATGCTAAATTTCACCACTGTGAAAACATCAAATGTCATATCGGTACTAAATCTCGTCTCAGAATCATGTATGAGAAATTCACGATTGTATTTTTTATAGTAATGCTGTTATGGATTAAATTTGTAGATGAATGACTAAACAGTGATTTAAGTGAATACTATAATTTATCTAACTGAGAATTTTAACAGTCCATACATTTATCACAACTTTCTCCATATTCATGCCTTATTACGTAGATGATGAACTTACTGATAAAATAAACAACTGGATAAGTAACAACCAACTGACTAAGCAAAATGAACAACTAAATGATTTACTTTAAAACTTTGAGGTACAAAGCCAAATAATGTGATAAAATCTGTGGCCATGTTAGAATTATCGACCTTCTAAGGTGAGGGATACTTAGCCACACGTTCAGCTCCCTAGCAGAACTGACCCCTTTTACCTGTCCGCGGTTGTGTTCAACGTGTTGCCCAGCTACTCTCTGACCGTACCCAAGAATATGCGCCCTGCCGTGGTGATAAAGAAACATGAAGTCTTCGTACGTAGCAAGTGCTTTAAAGTAAACCAGGTCTTTCAATTCGAACCCCATTCATCGCCCTGATGACGGAGGGAGTATGACCTCTGAAGCGTTGGTTAACATCGGCCAGACTACACAGCGCAACAACCCAGAAGACAGAAATCCATCGCCCTGATGACGGAGGCAGTATGACCTCTGAAGCGTTGGTTAACATCGGCCATACTACACAGCGCAACAACCCAGAAGACAGAAATCTTCATACTCACCGTTGTGAAAATCTCAAATCTTACAAAACAAGTATGGTATGTGAAACGAAAGAGGCCGTGTTAATGAAGTCCACTGCTCATTTGCTAAATATCGGCCACGACTTGAAATCAACTGTATGCCAATCACGGCAGTAATAACGTAATGAAAGCATACTGTGATTAGTATTAGGAAAGTATCCAGTTCGAATCTCGATCTGGATACCGGCTGCGTTGACTGAGTGGTTTTTGTAGTTTACTCACAGGCAAATGCTGGTACAGCAACTTAGAATGGACCATAACCACGCGAGTTTTAAATTTGTTGTAAAAAATCTTGTTATAATTTCTTATTTAGCATTTCATAACATTGAGCGACTTTTATAAGAGTCAACAAAGAAGTCAACAAAAAATAATCTTGTAGATAAGGTTTGTTCCGATTTAGAGTGCACGGAATTTTCAAGAGTTCCTTACTATTGTTCATTACTCCGATATCTCATTCGTGACGTCTCAGGAATCCTCAACATGGAATCAGTGAAATAATTAATGAACAAGAGATTTATAAGGGTGTGCAAACGTCATTTATAAACATGTAGCTTAAGATAGAAAATGTGTACTATGAATTTGTATTTTATTGCTCTTAATGCGTTTTAGACGAGCATTATTGAACTAATATTCCTTTATATGTAGTAATATAGGTTCTGCCTTCTACAGATCTAAGATTTATGAAAATGTGATGAATTTTCGCTGTTATTCATTGCGTCATATTGGGAAACGGGTCTCTTCCGAAACGAGTTACAAAATCCCTAGTTCTTAAGGAGATACTGGGATTTGGGGTTGAAGGGGCGGTGGGGATTGCGAGTCAGAGCAAGACAGTGTTCCCTACAGGGGTCAGGTATAAAAAGATTACGTTTCTCTGTTGTTCTGTCCCTCGGATTTTCAAGTCCATGTTCCAGTTTGCCTTTTGGCTTTGTAAGACAAGGCGACAGTAGCCATATGCATGTTGTTAAGTACAAACAGTCTCACTTCTCCACACTGATGATGTCAGATTTCATATCATGATCTTCTCTTATCTCTCCTCTGTCTGTCCTTTTAGAGTCCAGAATATTTCTGTAACTTTACTTTCTATTTTAGTGTTCGTCATTCTTTCGTTATTTTTATTACTTCCCTTCCTGTTTTTTCCATCACTGTCTCTTTCCCATGTACACTCTTTGCCTTTTTAGTCATGCAAACCCCGAAAATGTTTGCTTTCAGCTGGTTTGTCTTTGTTCTTCACACAATCACCAAATATTCACCTCATATGAGGACTGGTAGGTGAAGTTCTCACTTTAAAGCAATATTTAAATAACATTATTTCTAAAATCATGAATTCTCTACCCATAAAATTAAAATATTACTGCTGGACATAGTATCAGATATTATGAAATCAAAAATGCTTTAAATAATTTCTCAGTGGCATTTAGGAGGTTTGAACGTGCCCATTTAGAGCGGTATATCTTTAGGTTCCGAATTAGTCATCGGTTGTTTCTGTTTCAGTATCATTTGCTCCACAATGCCACTAAATAAAAAAGACCTAATTAATTTGTAATAGTAATTTTTATCATCAGAGTAAACATTTATTTTAAAGTAAGATTTCAGGTTAATACGGCGGTGAGTATGAACTTGGCTATCTTCTGGGTTGTTGAGCCGTGTGGTCTGGTAAAGGTTGACTGACGATTCGGAGGTTCTTGCTACTTCCTTCATTAGGACGATGATCGGCCCGATGATTATATGTGCTTGAAAATATGACCTTCAAAACTTCAAAAACCTTTATTTGCCTAACCCTCCAGGAAATATTGTCGTAACTTCCTCAAGATGTTGACCTGTCATTGGCCTCAATGTGACTTGAGTATGGTCACTAAGGTTCTTACAGATCGGCAGAAATATGTGTTTCAAAAAATGACCTTGGAAACTTCAAAATCCTTCATTTGCCAAACCCTCAGTGTGATATTGTCGTAACTTTGACATGACGAAGACTTGTCCTCGATCTCAAACTGACTTGCGGTTGGTCACTCAGATTCTTACACATCGGCAGAATTATGTGTTTCAAAAAATGACCTTGAAAATTTCAAAGGCCTTTTTTGCCAAGACCACAGTGTGATATTGTCATAACTTTCTCAAGATGATGACCTGTCATTGGCCTCAATCTGACTTGAGTATGATCACTCAGGTTCTTACAGATCAGCAGAAATATGTGTTTGAAAAAAATGACCTTGGAAACTTCAAAGGCCTACATTATCAAACCCTCAGTGTGAAACTGTCGTAACTTTGACATGACGATAACCTGTCCTTGATCTCAAACTGACTTGCGTATAGTCACTTAGATTTTTTCAGATCGACAGAATTATGTGTTTGAAAAATTGACCTTGAAAATTTCAAAGACCTTCATTTGCCAAACCATCAGTGAGATATTCTCTTAATTTTGAACCATCAGTGAGATATTCTCTTAATTTTGAACCATCAGTGAGATATTCTCTTAATTTTGACAAGATGATGACATGTCATTGGCCGCAATCTGACTTGAGTATGGACACTCAGGTTCTTACAGATCGGCAGTTATATGTGTTAGAAAATATGACCTTCAAAAATTCAAATGCCTTTATTTGCCAAACCCTCTGTGTGATATTGTCGTAACTTTGACATG